TATCAAAAACGTAAAACCCTCAGGCCCTTCTTGCAGACAGTGACACTGGACAGGTGAAGAGACACAAGTAAGCCAAAAGGCAGTGTGCATGTATGTAGCTATGTTATTGACACTCACTGAACACCTGCTCCTTGCTGGCACTACTCAGTGCTGGGATGTGGTCTTGAGAAATGGGAGTCTTGTCTTTTACGCAGAGGCCCCTGAGGAGCTGGACAGCCAGCCATTCAATGAGGACATTTCACATGGCCAAACTGGAAAAGCAATGAACATATGTCCCCACCTCCAAGACGAACATGGGTACAGATCCCAGCCCAACTCACTCCAGTGCACATTGGTTTTGTGTTCTACCCTCACAAAGCCTGTCTGAATGGCATCATGTGCTGTAGCATGGAAGTGCTTCTCCCTAATCCAGGAAAACTGCTGCTCCAGGAGTCCTGGTGCCCCTGTCCTGTCCTGGTTCCCCTGTATAGTCCTGCCCAAGGGTGCTCAGCCCATCCACAAAAGCTACCTACACTAAGTAAGAGCCTACTTCCCCAAATGGGAATCCTCTTCCAGAGTCCCTGAACTTTCTCAGGGACAGCACTCAGGCTTGGAACCCCCTACTCAGAGGGGTGGATATGTTTTTCAGGATACCCCCCACCAGGCTGCCATGAGCCACAGGAAACTTACAGAATTCCCATCTGCCCTGTCTGGGGTCAGCTCTAGGAGTTGCCCAGGCTATTTGCATCCTCAACCAGGGAGGACTGGTGCCATTCTATATCTTTGCTGAATGTTTGTCTCCACAGAGCTTGTCTTTATCAGTAATAGCCTGGCTCTCTTACTTATGGTCTTTTTACTTATGGTCTTCTTAACCAGAGTATAAGCTCTTTAATGCACAGACTCAGCTCACCACCACCCCCCCACCGTGTGCCGCTGCCCTATACAGGGTGGCACACATTGGGGTTGGATTCTGAGCGAATATTGATTACATTGAGCTGATAGATCACTTTGCCCACAGAGATCTGAGGGTAGTTAACCTCGGGCCCAGACACACATACTGAGTTATTCAGGAGTAATGCGTGAAGAGGTGGAGGGTAGGTACCCTGCTGAACAAGCAAGTGGAATTGAGCTAGGATGGGATTGACCCACTTTACTGAGACAAGAGGCAGCCTCTGGCCTAAGGACAAGAAGTACTGTGTTGACACCATAGACCAAGAGTCCCATCCCTGGGCATCATAGCCAAGAGAGCCTCTGAGCCTAGGCTTCCTGTGCATCCTCTCTGTGTTCCCAGGAGCTAGTAGGGACAAAGCCCAGCTTCTCAACAGAGGGCTGTGCAGCTACCAGACCATACAAGGTGGCCTGAGGGCAGTCATGAACAGAGCTAACCCTTCCTATGAAGATAGTAATCCTTTTATTTTTCTCTCAACCCTTTTCCTTCAAGGAGAAAATCCCAGTTTGTGAGAAAATCTCACAACCTCCAGCAGGCTCTAATCCCCACCATTTAACAGAGAGTGGCTTCACCTGGCTCTTGTGCAGATACCAGGCCCTAGCTAGCAGCAAAAGCAGTTCCTTTATGCTATTCTATATTTTAGATTACTTTTGTCTGTTGTGAGTGACTCTGGCTTTCCATTTAAAGTACAGTTATTTAAGTAAAAGAGTGAATCCATTTAAAGAAAAACATTGAGTAAATAACAGCAGGTGATACCCAGATGTAGTGATGTTAGATTGTGATGTCAGGGTGCCAAGAGGTGGAGAGCTTGATGGAAGTTGAGCCTTATAGACTCTCAGCTGGGTGACCCCAAGGAAATACCCTCCTCTATTTAAATCTTGATTTCTATATCTGCAAAATTATGGCCACCTCCCTAGCATATCATTCAAGATAACATGTGTGCCAGCACAGGCTAGTGCCACAGCAGTGGTAGCAGACAGATGTGGATGAAAGTACATTTGTCCCAGCATCTCTAGCCTTGGGCTATTGGGCCCAGGTTTCCTGTGTACCTTCCTCCTCATGATGACTCCAGTGGCCCAAGGAGGCATGCTTTAGACATGGAAAGCACAGCCAAGCTATGGCTGGGATCTGTAGCCTTCTTCCTGATCCTGTCTTCCTGGAATGGATGCTCCCCAGAGTCTAACCCACAGCTATCCCTAATTATCGAAGAACACACATGGAAACACCTCCATGAAAAGTATGCCAGAACCCTCCCTGCACTGTGATTGGACCATTATAGTGATGTGTGGGACAAGACTGGCATGGGAATCTGACCGGAGAGACAAAACTTCCAGTTGTGTTGTCTTGGCATTTGTGGAGTTCCTTTCACCCTGAGAAGAGTCTGGGTTGATAGGGAAGGGAAGTTGGAAATGACAGAAGAGGTGGGCAGCACAAAGGACACCTGGCTCCTTGGAGACCACCAAGGAGCCACTGTAGTGGAGAAGGTCCCTGTGGGTCCAAGCCTGGCTCTGGGAAAACTTAATGACAGCTATAAGACTTGGGCAGGAGAGAAACATTCAGTATGTCAGTTGAAAGCAGAAAGCACAATGCCAGTAAGCCAGGCATAAAAGGGCAGTGGAAAATGTTTCCTTATTAAGCGGGAAGGAAACTGATTATCAGTGGCAGCCGCAGGCACAGGCTTTTCCGGACCTTCAATTTCTAAAATAGAGCCACTTAGTAAGAGCTGAGTAGGGGATAGTGGGTCCAGAGAGCAAAGGAGAAGACCTACTCTTTAAAAGGAGATGGAAATACCATGAATAAGTTTGGGCCTACGGGTTCTCATGCTAGCCTGGGAGGCATGGGAAGCACCTTAGGACTAGTGATTCGGGCAACCTAAGACCAGCAGTGCCTCAGGTGTAGGTTCAGGGAACTCCACATGCATTTCTCCTTCCAGATCCTGAAAACCATGAGACATAGGCTGGCTGTGGGTGGCACTCTCTCCAGGGCCCCACCCTGCCCTCCCCATTCTGCCTGATGTCACCCCTCCCCATTCTGCCTGATGTCTTTGTTTAAGGAAGGGCCTGTAATCACAGACACAGTGAGCTCCATCTGCTGCCACCAGGCCAACCTCCCTCTGCTCTCTCCAGGTCATCACAGAACAGCCGTTGGGTGCCAGGGTAGAGCTGGCAGTAGAAGAGCCACCACTGCCAGGGCAGAGACATCTGAGCAAACTGGGGTGTGCTGAGTCATAACCCCATTTAGGGCTCCCTGAGCAGTTCAGCCTCCATGGGGGCATGGGGGGGACTCGAGGGCAGGGCCAGGGGTAGGTAGGTGCAGGTAGTCCAGGGCAGCTGTCTTGGGTTGGAAAGGGCTCATCAGTTCATGATGAGGGCTATGCCTCCTGCTGTCACCCCCAGACCTGGAACCAGAGGCACTGCTGATCCCTCGCACTAAGGCTTGACACACTCCAAGCCAGGGCCTTGGCTGAGGGCAGAGTGGGAATTCCCAAAGGTTTAAAGCAATGGGGAAAATTGGGAACCCATCATTGTGCTGGGTGTATGGCCTCTCACTGCCTTGCTGGCCTTGTTGCCCGGCCACTCATCGCTTCTTGGGGTCCTAACCATTGTCCCCAGCAGAGTTAGCCATCTGAATGATCTCTGTGGGCCTCAGAGATATGACCATGCTTCTTTGTTCATTTACAATCCCAAGTGCTGGCACATCTCCTTAGTGAATCTAAACTACCTCCCTTAGGTGGGCCTGTGTGTGGAATCATCAACCCTTCTAGTGGTCCAGGCTCAATGTGGAATAAGCTTTCCTGGGAGACCAGAGGGGAGGCCAATAGGTAGCCAGGGTCTGGAGAAGTGAGGGTCTGGGCTGCTTGTCCCCATGGAAGTGGGGCATAGTATCGAAGGAGCCTAGCCTATAAGCTGATAAGCCTTTCTACCCAAGAGTTCCCTGGCTTAGCTTGGCTTGGGCAGTGATACCTCAGTGACCTTGACTTTGGATTACCTTCCCCCACTTCGAGGGCTGACTTTCCTGGCTGTTGAAAAGTGGCCCTGGGAGAGGCTTTAGGGGGAGAGGTTGGATAGGTATATGGGACAGGTTAGTGACTTGTGTTCCCACAGCCTAGCTCTGCCTTGTGGGTATAGACAGACAGCCATGGGTATGAGGGTTGTGTTGCCAGGTTGTATGCCCAGCAATCACAGGCTGTGGGGACAGGCCAGGGGAGAGCAGTAGCAGTCGATATGGAGGGCATCCATGATGCCAAGACACTGAGAGAAGTGGCAGCACCATCCCTCCACAACCATGTCCTGCCCTGCTTCAGGGCTGTTACCCACATCTATTCCAGGAGCAGCCTGGAGAGAGCCATGTCTGGGGAAGGGGCAACATGATATGAGGGCAGGCCAGCCTGCCAGGAGTCAACTAGGACCAGGTCAGAGGCCTGAGAGGCAGGCAGGGAGAATACTGAAGGGATTCCCTGTGTGTGCTAAAGGGTCTGGCCTTGAGAACACAGGCAGTGAGGAGCTTTCAGGAGAGGGGTCCCTGAATGGGCTTAGGGTTTGGGGGTTATACCTTGAAACCTTTAGGTAGATGAGTTAAGGAGACCTCTCAGAGGTCAGGATAGAATTTGTCTAGAACCATAGATCAAGGAGAGCTAGTTTCCCAAGACAACAGGGGAGGAAGCAGGGAGGCTGCAGACTCAGGCCTGGTGAATTCATCATGCTTTATGTGTCTCAAGCTCTGCTGCTGTGGAACATGGGTAGGGCTGGCTAGTACTCAGTGATTAATCATTCCACACATCTGTACTGATCTTCTGCCACAGCAGAGTAGAGTCCCACATTACAGGGAGGTGACAACTTTGCCAACACCTGCCACTTCCTGGAGAATCTCCTCTCCATGAAAGGCCCCACTCCCAGCCTGCTGACTATTCCTGGGATACCCTTAACACCTCCCTATTCTCACACAGTCACCACTTTATCACCAGGCACTGCCTGCCCTATAGCCTATAGCCTGTGTCTGTGCCTGTTTGCTGCATCCTCCTCCACAGCCCTCACCCACAGTGCTACCCTCTCACCTGGATGTCTTTGTGCAGGAGCCAGTCTCGCCTTAGCCCAGCAGCCACTGGGGTTGCTGGTCATGGAACTCCTTGCTCAAATCCTGACTTGCCAACTCCACCCAGTGTCAAGCTCAAAGCCACAGGTCAGTAAGTAAGTATAACAGAGAATCCCTGAATCATCATCTCAACCCCACTTGCTATACCACTGCCAGCCCCTCCCCTTCATAGCTACCTCTGCTCTCAGAACACCTCTTCCCTGGTACACATGCAGCTGTACAGACACATTCAGGTGGGTCTACACACATGCATGCACATGTAGACACAGACATGGACCTGCATGTGCACACCCAAAGGTATATACCTATCACTGTCACATACACCTGCATATGTGGCTTAAACCCCTTCAGTGGCTTTTTCTTTTTGATGAAGGAAAACCAAGGCCCCAGCTAGGTTTCTGTTCTGTCCTCTCACCTTGTACCTCTGTCTTCCTTGTGCCCAGCCACTCTGACCACCCTTCTGTTCTGCCGTGCCCCTTCCTTTCATCTGTACTTCTCTCTATGCCCAGTCACTCTGACTACCCTTCAGTTCTGTAGTCACTATGGTTCATCCCTGCCATCCGTAATACACAGGCCCTTTGAGTATGCTCCTCCTCTGGTGTGTGACCTGTACAGGGACTCTGCCCACACCAACCTGCCCAGCTCACAGAGCTAGAGACCATCAAGAGTAGCCCTCTGCCCACATGCCTACCTCTCTCCTGCACTAGATGGCCTCTGCGTGTATATATATATATATATATATATACACACACACACATATGTATATAATATGTATATATATACACATATGTATATATATATATACACATACACACACACACATTTTTTTAGAGAGAGAGAGTTTTCGGTGGACACAACATCTCTATTTTATTTTTATGTGGTGCTGAGGATCGAACCCAGCACCTTGCACATCCCAGGTGAGCCCGCTACCACTTGAGCCACATCCCAAGCACACATATATTTTAATTGTAGATGGACACAATACCTTTATTTTGTTTATTTATTTTTATGTGGTACTGAAGATCAAACCCAGTGCTTCACACGTACAAGGCAAGCCCTCTACCCCTGAGCCACAACCCCAGCCCCCTGGCCTCTTCATTTTTAAGGAAATCCCAGCCAAAGGTAAGGACCAGAAAGGTAGGACAAGATGCAGAGAACAAAGAGGTTCAGCAGCATGGGGGAGAGAAGTGGGGAGATAGAAGCACACAATTGATGGCGGGGAGTTACTACAAATGTGCCGACCTATGAGGCCAGTCAGGAGGTGCTACAGATGGAGCAACCTGAGGAGAGTTGAGGTGATGGATCCAGCTCTGCAGAGAACAGCCTGTGCTGGGCCCACATTTGGGTGGGGGTTTTATGGGGACCTGAGATGAGAAAGTGTGAACTGCCAGGAAATGGCCTATGTCCTAGTCTGTTCAGGTGCAATTCTACACCAAGGCAAAGTATTCCCTCACCTGACCCCCAGGAATCCCAGTTCTGAGGTTTACATCTTACCTGCCTGTACTAGACCATGTTCTAAGAATGGGTTCATTACAGGGTGTTCCAAAGGTAGCCACAAGCCTGCTTTTCCTGGGTAGCAGCAAACAGCTTGGGAGGTTCATTTGGGAGAAACTTATTTTCTGGACAATCTTTGCCCAACACTGACCAGCTGAAGGAAGGATAGGGACTGCTACCGACTGGCATTTGTATCATTTCAGGCCTGGTTGTATCTCGGATTTTAAAACATTGAATTGAAAAGAATGGTGATGACAGGGACATCCCCAGGCAGCTTCTCCCAAGTGGAGGTTGTTGGCAATCATGCCAGAATGACGGCACTAGCAGGAAGGGCCTTGGTGCTCCCAGAAGCATAGCAGGCTGAGGTCTTCCCACACCCTTTCCATCCCAAGGGGTTGTCAGATGGGGTTAAGTCATTAGCAGGGACAAAAGAGCAGCCACAGGATTCCTTGACCTTGCTGACATTCACTCCATAGTAGAGAGAAGCAAGCCCCAGATGTGAATTAAAGACAGGGGCTTGTCAATGCCATTACATTTGTTTACAGATTTTTTTCCTAATATTAGTTCATTGAAGGAAATATAAAAGATACAATAAAATACAAAAGAGAAAAAAACTCTGCTGAGGTTCCATAACTCTGAACTCATTGCTCCTAGGGAACTAGCGCCCAGACCTCATGTGCATTCCAGCACATGAGTACACTACATGTATTACACTCAAGTGGATGCTCCTAGACATCTACTGTACCATCTCAAGATGCTTCTTGAGGCTTCCATTCTCAGGCATAATTTCAACCTCAATGGGATTCAGCCTCATTGAATGACCCTTTTAATCACTGCTATTAGCAGAGATGTTCCTGGGGTGTTCCCTGGTAGACTCTTCTTCCATGGAGGCCTGGCAGATGGAACTGCAGAAATGTGGGAAGATTGCTCAGCCTCACTTTCTTCCTTTCTTCTTTTCATCCCCAGCACCTATCAAGGGCCCACCACATGTAGAGCACTGCTTTGCTCATGTTGGGGTCAAGGCCAAGATGGGCCCTGCTCACCTGGAACCCCCAATTAGGGAGGAGGCTGCATCAGCACACAAAGTCATGTAGGTCACTTGTTAGCTGGGGGCTTCTGTGGAAGTAGCAGTGAAGAGAGGGCAGGGCAGGCAGTGGAACCTGGCCAGGGAGAGGTCAGCTGGTGTGGGGAGAGCAGAGTGATTTTCTTTAGGTCCTGGAGCAGGGAAGGTAAGGAAAGCAGAGGCAGCTGGGGCAGGTTGAGTTTTGGAAGCTAACATACCTAGGAGTATAGACAGAGTGAGGTCCATAGCTGGCAGGTCTTGTCTGCCCCAGGCTTTCCCACCTCAGGGCCTACCATAAGAGATATTAGAGGAGTGAATGATGGTCATGGCAGAATGGCTGAGGAGGGAAGGCAAGGGAAGAATTATGCAATTGCAGGTGCCTCCATGGGCTTCCAGTCAGTGTCAGAAGCCTGAGCTCTCTGATAGAGGAAGACTGGCCCAGTCACCCAGCAGTCACAGGAGTGTTCTAGGGTTTGCCCCTTCCCTTGCTTTCGACAGGATGCTATAGCCTAGGCCCAGCCAGGGTCGGTGAAAGATTCCACCTCAGACTTGGGGAGGGGGGACTTTGGGCTACCATGCATAGCCTGGACTTAGCGATTCCCACTGTCCTTGGGAGGTACCCTGGCCTTCCCCAACAAGACTTCAGCATAGGGGCTGGGGATGTGGCTCAAGCAGTAGCGCGCTCGCCTGGCATGCGTGTGGCCTGGGTTCGATCCTCAGCACCACATACAAAGATGTTGTGTCCGCTGAAAACTAAAAAATAAATATTAAAAAAAAAATTAAAAAAAAAGACTTCAGCATAGTGCCCTGTCTTGCAGACCCTGCCCACCTGCTAGCCCCTGACCCGTGCCTCCATCCAAGCCTCCCTCACCCAACCAGAAATAAGGCCACCTCTGCCTATTCTTCAAGGCCATACCTAAGCCACTGTCTAATTAGGTACCCTGCGTTATTTATCCCTATGGTCTGCAGCCTCTGCCTGGTTTGGTCCCTGTGTATCTGCTTACTCCTAGGGTTGGTGCCACAGAGTACCCATAAGGTAAGTCAATGGCCAGACCTCCTTCCTGGCACATATCCTATTCTGTGAGAGGAGAGGTGACCCAGCCCCTGCAAGAGGAGGTGAGAGGCAGGGAGGCATCCATTTATCCCAGACCTGAGGTTAAGGGAGCCTGGGCCTCTTCCAGGCAGGGTCACAGCCAGAACCCCACTGTAAAACAGGGTGAGGCTAAGCTCCATGGGTACCTTTGGGTAATAAAGCACCAGAGGGGCATCACAGCAGGATCATATTATTGAATCCTATTCAGATGCAGAGATTCAGAGAAGGTGAGGTCCGCAGGGTCCAGTGGGTAGGACCCAGCGTGGGGTGCAGATGGGCAGAGGCCTTGTATACCTCACTCCTCTTCCTTGTGCACCTGGCTGGCTTCAGACAAATTGAACCAACCAAGAGAGAAGTAGAAGGGTAGGCATCAGCCAGACATGTTTGTTTTGCTGTGATTTGGGCACTAATCCTGCAGCACGCCAGAGGAGCAGGGAGTCAATGGATTATTCCCGCGCTTTCAGAGCCCAGTTTCCTATCCAACCTGAGGTGGGGCTGAGAGGAGCAGCAGGTGGCTCATGCTGTTGTCTGTTTGGCAGGTGAAGGGCCGAATGCACTGCTGGGAGTCGGAGCAGCCTGAGGCAGGGGGGCCACAGGGAGTGCAGGGCCCTCCAGCCGAGCTTAGCAGCATCGCCACAGCAACCAGCAACCAGAAGGCAGCAGCCTAGGCAGACGCAAGCAGACGGCTTCCCACCGTGGCCGAGGACAGGGAATGACTACGGCAAATCAGACCACACAGCTGACAAGGGAGGTGGAGTGTCACTAGAGGAGAGGGTGCGGCCACCGCCCCGCTGCAAGGAGCGCCATGCCAGCTGGAGAAGAGTCACTGGGGCAGGGGCTGCAGTGTGATATGACCTGGCCTCACACCCAGTGCTGAACTCTCCCAGAGAGCTGACTCTTGTCTGCTGGGCGCATCAGCCCACATCTCACATTCCTCACTGCAGCCATCCTTACCTGGTGGCAAGAGGGAGAGGCATCTATCTGTGCCCCACATCTGGGCCTATTGCTGCCGGACCATGGGATGTCGGCAAAGCTCAGAGGAAAAAGAGGCAGCGCGGCGGTCCCGGAGAATCGACCGCCACCTGCGCTCAGAGAGTCAGCGGCAACGCCGTGAAATCAAGCTGCTCCTGCTGGGTACCAGCAACTCAGGCAAGAGCACCATCGTCAAGCAGATGAAGATCATTCACAGTGGTGGCTTCAACCTGGAGGCCTGCAAGGAGTATAAGCCCCTCATCATCTACAATGCCATTGATTCACTGACCCGCATCATCCGGGCCCTGGCTGCCCTCAAGATAGACTTCCACAATCCTGACCGCGCCTACGATGCTGTGCAGCTGTTTGCACTGACAGGCCCCGCAGAGAGCAAAGGTGAGATCACACCTGAGCTGCTGGGTGTCATGCGGCGGCTATGGGCTGATCCTGGGGCACAGGCATGCTTTGGCCGCTCCAGTGAATACCACTTGGAAGACAATGCAGCCTATTACCTGAATGACCTGGAGCGCATTGCTGCACCTGACTATATTCCCACTGTTGAGGACATCCTACGTTCCCGGGACATGACCACGGGCATTGTGGAGAACAAATTCACCTTCAAGGAGCTCACATTCAAGATGGTAGATGTAGGCGGACAGAGGTCAGAGCGCAAAAAGTGGATCCACTGTTTCGAGGGTGTCACTGCCATCATCTTCTGTGTGGAGCTAAGTGGCTATGACCTGAAGCTCTATGAGGATAACCAGACGGTGAGTGGGGCCCAGGTTTTCATGGCTTGTTCCAAGGAAGCAGGTAGACTCCTTGGACAGGGAGAGGCTATGGGCAGTAGAACTGAAACTATGCCTGATCTAGCATACATGTCTGCTCTAATGTGATGGGGCCATGTGTGTCCCTCTTTCTGTCGTCAGGAAATACACTGTGGAGTGTGGTGGATGTTGTGGGCATCACAGGACCATACGGTCACTTCTTCACTTCTGCCAGGATGTCAGTCCTGGAGTGGTTCCTGGCAGGTAGGACCATGCTAGGCCCTCAAAGGTTCCCTGTAAGAACAGCTCTCCACAGCTGCCCTGGCCTTGGGGGACACATTTTGACCTAGGTGACCATGCTCTGACAGACCCATGATATTCTAACACTTTCTAGATGTTGCCATACTCCTTGGCAACACACCAAGCAGGGATACCACCCCACAATCAGTTATAGCCATCCTCTCCCTGTTGCAAATCATACTGTCCTTGTAGTTCTTGCTGACTGCAGGAGACCAGGTTGCAAGGTTACCCTCACCTCAGTGCAGTGGACAAATCATACCCATGCCTTAAGCACTGAGGCCTTAAAGGCCACAGGACAAGAGGGACAGGGAGGCAAGCCCCTGGCAAGGAAATGGTGGGTAGCATGCTCCAGTCCAACTGAGATAGAAGGCCCAATCTTCCCAGGCACCTTGGAGTAGCAACAGTGGAAGTGATGGATGTGGCCATGGCTGCCCCACCCTGAGGGCCATCTCTTGCTTTAAAGAGGTTTTTGTGCTTGGCAGGAGCACTAAGCAAAGGTTTTTTTCTTAAGGCAGGTTTCTTATGAGAAAAAGGCCTTTCTTTTCAGTAGAGGGCTTGCCTAGCATGTGTGAGGCCCAGTACTGAGAAAAAAAAAGGGGGGGATAGCCTTAGAGTTGTGGGGTGGGGGGGACAGTCCCTCAAGGAGCCATGAATGGAGCTGTGGGTGCCTAGGGGGCAGTAATGATGTTGGTGAGGGGACCTTGTCAACATGGAACCTCCATCATGCTAGGAGATGAAGGTCTGTCCTATCCCCTTTGAAACACTGGGCCTCCAGGGTCAGCTGCAAGGATGGACTCCTTCCTTCATCTGTTCTTATTAAGGCAGGTGATAGCTTTATTCTTTGGGTTCATCCAAGGGTTCTAACTTAGGTCCTGTAGCCTCCAAGGGAGGAGGGCTGGGTTCCTGAACATTTTTCTGGGCAGAGAGGGTCTGAGGCCTTTTTGTCAGGTCAGTATAAAAGTAAAAGGCAGGATGCACCTCTTTTCTCTCCTCTTTATACATCTAAGGGTATTCCCTTTACTGTGTCCTGGAGTTGATGGCTTCAGTGGCTGGTGTAAGGAGCTGTAGATGCCAAGTCCACAAGAGGCTGGTGGCTTATGGCCCTATTCACAGGCCATGTCTGTCAATGAGTGAGTGGTCTTTGGATCTTCTAGTCCCTTTTACTTCTCTGGCTGCCCCCACTTGAGCATCATAAGTGGTTCTAGATAAAGGTGACATCCCAGCAAATGAGTGAGGTCAAGCTTTGTTTATAAAACATTACTGTGGACAGAGACAGGGCTTGGGGTTGACCAGGCTGTGAGGCCAAGTGAAGTGCCTGGGCTGGGCTGTTCCGAAGGACAAGGTCATGGCAGGTCTGCTGGCCACACTGCAGCTGCTAGTCACACAGGTTTAGGCTGTTGGCTCTCTGCCCCAGGTATCTTCTACTGTTTCCTGGAGCTGACAAAAAAACTCTGATCAAAAGCCTTCCAGATCTGTATCTGGGGGATGCCTCATCCATCATCTCCAGGGTGGACATGGCAAATTCCTTCAGTGCTGGCCTGGCTCCCAGACCCATTCTTTGGCTGTGCCCAAGGTGTGCCTGCACCCAGGAGGCAGGATGCCTGGACCCTAAGTTTTATGGAAGACTAGTTGTCACCTCTGCTCTCCAAACCTGTCAACAAGGAAGAGGCCCCAATGACCTCAAAAGACAGGCCCAAAGCCAAATTATTGCCTGCTCCAAACCCTTCTGACTTCACCTAGCCCATGCTACTGCCTTGATGCCTTTCTCTGCTCTTTCTACTCCACCATTTACAGCTTGTTTTGCTCTCATAGCACTGCTTTGCCCAGACTTAAGTTCATGACCATCCCTGTCTTCTTCCCCCATCCGCCAGGACTCATCCCAAGTGACACTCCTTTAAGTGGCCTTCCATGACCTTATCCAGTGCCTGCACACTCCTTCATTGAATCATTCATTGAAGGGTGGGTCATTGCTCACAAGCCAGCAAGCTCCTGGGGGCAGGCCCTGGGAGGCCTGGGTGGGCCCCTGATCTCTAGCCTTCTTCCAGCCCTACCTCCCATGGGGATCTCTCTGAGGCCTGAGCTTGCCTTGGTGGAAGAATCAGGCTCTGGGATGTTCAGGGGATTTTCTAAATAAAGGGGCTGGCAGCTGGGCCTGCAGCTGCCACCACCACCACCCTGATTTCCACAGGCCTGGGGAAGTGATTGTTCACCAGAAAAGGAAATTGTTGATGAGAAACCCAAGCAAAACTGGAAATTCACTGGATTCCAAATGGATCTGACCTTTCATGCTCCACCAGTAATATCTGGGGATGGAAAACAAACAGGCTGCTGAGGAAAGACAATACTCTCCCATGATTCCTCCAGCTGGCTGCCATGGGGTGGTGCAGGCAGTGAGAACTGCTTACCTCTCTCCAGCTGAGCCAGGGCTTACTCCACCTGCACAGAGGCTAAAACAAGCCTGCCACCTTCTGCCTCCTGGAATGCCCTGAACTGTCCTCTCAGCCCCGACAAAGGCAAGTCAGCCAAAAATGAGTCATGCTAATTTTTGCAAAAGCCAAACGAATCTCTGGGTCCAGTGCCAAGGCTCTGGACATGGCCCCTCCACAGCACTCCTTCCCTGCTCATCTCTGAGGCCTTATTTTCCCTCTGATGGAGACTGTGGTACCCCCTGCCCCCATGCCTGGTGAAGAAACCACAGCACCCCCCCCCTCCCACCGCCCAGCTTGCCTGCTGGTTCCTACGTCAGCACGTTGCCAAGGAGAGTGTCAGCATCTCTGGGCTTCTGGTTGTGAGGGCTGCAGCAAGCACAGGGTAGCACCCTGGAGGCAAGGGCAGACGGATTCCCAGCCACCCATGAACTGTGGCAACAAAGCACAAACAAGAAACCATACCTGCCCTTGGCCAGCATTCCGCTCTTGTCTCCAGGAAGAATTAGGCAGAAGGTGGGCAGGCTTGGAGAAAAATGTAGTGACAGAGTACTGACCAGCAGCCAGGGGTGCTGGTCCCTAATGGGAGGGCTGATTGAGACCCTGTCCCCTTGCAGTCCTGGTAGGTACCTGGGCTTTAAAGCTGGATGGGCCTCCAGTACCCCACCTGGTATCCCCCCAGATGGCACCAGAGGCCAAAACACAGGATAGCATGGGTATTTTTCTCAGGTACCATTCCCTAATTGATCCTGTGAAGCAGCAGCACCTGTTACTTCTGTCATAGGGGGAGGCACCAGAAGCTCAAGTGTAGGATGGTGCTAGCTAGCTTCCTACCCCTAATGCTTCCTCTCACATGAGGACAGTCCCTGAGAGGCCCAAGAACCTACTCTGGGCTTTTCACTCAGCCAGGCCCAGGACTCTGCCCTTCCTCCTTACTGCATTTACATAAGTGTCAATTGACAGAGATAGGTCACTCTTTGGCCTCAGGACCACTATAGACAAGGAGAAGTGGAGACACTGGCATCTAGCAGCCCATGTGGAGAGATGACCGTTGCTGTGACCAGCAGGAATGTGTCCTCACTCCCCCATCAGAAGCAGGACCTATAGCATACTTGGTGAGATCCTTGGGGAAGTGGGAAGGCAGGTGCCTAGTTTCCAACCTCTGCCCCTGCAGATCAGCTGATGGACTCTGCTGGCTGCTTAATGGTGGATGAATTCTTTAAAAGAGACAGATTAAAAGGCCTGGTTGTAAAGTGTCAAATGTTTTAATGTGGAAACCTACAGAGAGCTTGCTGCCCATTTCCCAGTGGAGCTGTCAGCATTCCCAGCCCTGTGGCAAGCCCATTGTGTGCCTGCTGTGTGCCTGCTGTGCATGGTTCTGGGCATAAGCATGAGCCTGATTCTAACAGCAACACAAGGAGCTTGAGGGGCAGGGGACAGTCATACCAACACAGCCACTACCTTACTCCACAAACCCTCATGCTTCTGGGGACACCTGCCCTTTCCTTCCAGAGCCATAAGGCACAATTCTGAGGGGTAACCCTTGTTTTGCTTTCATCTAGAACCAGTGGTACCCACTAGGACCCTATAGGCAGACTGGGCCACCACAAAACACCATGGGAGAACCTTTGCCCCACCATCTATCCAAGAGACAACTAGCCAACATGTGTCAAGGAGGGGAGAGCAGGATACAAGGACATTCATTTGTGGGAGTCAAATGCTGCAGGTGGTGGAAACTACAGCATCTAGACTCCAAGCAGGTGGCCTCTGCCCTGCTCTGAGCAGTGGTCCTGGGACCCTGGGCAGCCCTTTCCCTCACCCTACAGATCAACAGCCCAACACCTGCTGAGGATAGACTGGTACCCACCCACACAGCCTGTGCTGTGGGTAGAGGCCCTGGCACTAGTAGGCACTCAGCAGGCACTGTGGAGTGGGCAGGCTTGTAGAAAACTGTAGTGCCAGAGTACTGACCAGCAGCCAGGGGTGTTGATCCCTAATGGGAGTGTGTGTCCCTGAGGAGACTGTCCTGCAAATATAGTGTGTACTTGCCACCCTAGCACTGTGGTTGTCAAGCAGATTGTGAAGGAAGGTGATTTTAGTGCTTTAAAAGTGGAGTTTAAACAGCTGTGTCAAGAAATAAGGTGCCGAGGGAGATACAAGTTATCTGCAGTAAGACAGCTCGCACCTGATGATAATGGAACTGGTTCATCCAGCCAAATGAGAGGATTATAAATGTGAAACAGCCAGGTGTGGATGATTCCCAGGTATGGCTGATTCCCCACTCCCAGGTATACAGAGACCTGGAATGGTAAGGGACCTTATAGGTCCCTTAGTGTCTTTAACCAGTCAGCTTTGCAGATGAGGAACTGAGGCTCAGAGATTACATTACCTGACCCAGGGCTATCTCTGACTCTCAGGGAGGACCCTGCACTGCCCCCTGGGGATTCCAGAGATCTCCTATTTACCTACCAACCCCATATCCTGTGGGTGCAGGAGTGCTCCACAGAGGGCTTTGGGGGTATAGATTGGATTCCACCA